CCCCAAAACCCCAAAACCCCTAGCCCCAAATAGATAACTATGCAATGGTATTTTAAATGCAAGTTAATTTAATCATTATTACTAATAAATTTCCAATATATAAAACCAAACGAATATTTATCACTTTCTTGCTCAATTTTGTGTTCATTCTTATTTTCCCATTTATTTCATCTCTTTATTCATATAGTTTAATGTATTGTTGTTTAAACATGTTTATATGAAGCTTTCCTTTGTTGGCTTTTGATTTTTTCTAAATGATCCCATGGTTTTAGAATACAGGCATGTTTATGATCTATTTTAGCTCCCTGTATTGATATCTGCTTTAATTCTATTTGACTGATTAATATGTTTCCTTGGCCAATAGCTCTAACCTCTCCATTGTGATTTCCTACTTATCTTGCTTGAGCTACTTTGAGGCTTGAATTTAGTATAGTATCTCTGCATATATTTGTTAAATTATTCATTGTCTAATACTTTTGAGAACTCACTCATCTCAGCTTCTATTAATCCCAACACATTTGATTTTTGAAATTTCTCTGTATTGTATATCATATGCCTTTCTTTTTTAATCTCTCAATAGAATCTTTAGCAGGTGCTTGATTATGTTATCTTTCCTCTTTTATTAATCTTTTTACATTTCCTTTAATTGCAATTGCTTTATAATTATAACAAGCCTTTCATTGTTAAGTTCTCTTCCCTGAATAATGATTTCTTGAGTTTCAAAGGTGGAAAATCAACTACCATCTCAGTGACATTAAGGAATTCCATTTCATTGATCCATTTCTAGGCAAGTTCCTTCTCATTTTTAAGGTTAACATTTATTCCCTTAGATTATCAAGCAAAAATCAGGCTCTTAATATTTTAACATAGCGGCTGCATAAAATTCTGCATTAAAATTTTTTCTGATTCATTTATCTAAAATGCCACTGGTTTATAATAATTTGATAACTCTTGATGGCTTGGTTAGGCTGAAGAAGTCATTGTTTTCAATTTCCAATTATTTATACTCTATATATCTGCCAGCTTCAAAGAATTGAAGTAATGACTAATCCAAGATTGATCACTTAGTTTAAAATGATTTTCTTAAATTTTTTACCCTCAATTCATGCTCCCATTAAATTCTGAGACTCTTCATTTCTTCAAGTGCTATCTGGACTAATAAAATGCGAGAATCTTATCCACACTATCGAATAATTTACCCCTACACTTTATTTGTATTGAATGAATTAAAAATGCATGATTTCTCTTATCTCCGTGGATACCAAAGTTATTTGGAATAATCTATTTTTCCTCAAACTTTTATAGATCATCGTAAAAGTCATCATAGTGAATTCCTAAAAAATGCATTCGAACCTATCACTTAAATACTCATCTTGTGTTTCTAGAATCATTCCACTCCAATCAGGATCTGATTTCTCGCAATTCTTATTTTTTGCATTTCTTTCATTCTGTATAATCCTGAATTTTTTCATGATAGTGTTATAGCAGATCTAGGGTATTCAGTCAGTATAATATCTTCATCTGAATTATCAGCTTTTTTTATCTTCATCTACATCCTCATTGGCTAAGTCACTTAATCTCTCTTTCAAAGCTACTTCATCTGATACTAGTACTGTTACCTTTCCCGAGTTAGTTAAATTAATGAGATTTGCATTATTTTTGTCATCATTCTCATTTTGATTTAATCTATTTTTATTATTTGTTTAGTTAGAACTCCAATATTTTACATCCAAATTGCTTTAGCATCTTAGAGTAGATGTTTATTAAATATTTCTAATGTATCTCTACAGCCTCAACTCAAAATAAAATCTTATACCATTTGCGATGTATCATTATCAGTATCAAATTTCAACCATCTTAAGTTGAATTAATATTAGTTGGTACTTGGGATTCTTCTATGATACACTATTTTTCAATTTCAAATATTATGTTTATATTCTGTTGGAGTTGTTTTTTAAAAATATTGTCTGATTGACCAATCTAGACCAGAAATTAGCAATTATTGGCAAGAGGAGTATATTTTATTAAATACTCTCTTAATTTCAAAGATTTAAGTAATACGGGGTTTTGGGGTTTTGGGGTTTTGGGG